ATAATACTGAAGTAAAAATGTTGGGCTCTGATCCATATTCTATTAAAGTTAATAGRCGAGTTTCCATTAAATTCAGTTGTATAAGGGTCAGACCCTTCAAATACTGCCTTATTAAAACGTATCCTTGATTTATTTTCAATCGTTTGGCTGCAGTTTCTTTTCCTACAGAAGTGAGGTTAGCAGAGCCAAGAGTAGCCAGAAGGCAGCCGCGAGTCAGAATCAAAAATCATTTGTTGACTTCAACAGCTGTTTAGTTACCCAGATCTACAGGTGAGGTTTAAAAAGCAGCTACAGACTTTTCAAAGTGGAAGCAGAATAGAATCCCAAAGGAAACTGTCTAGTTGCCAGGCTGGTATCACTAGACTCTTGCTCTTATCTCTGGCACGGCTGGATTGAGTAGTCTCTCTGTACTGCAGATCCTTGCCCAGGGGCAGGAGTGGGTGGCGAGTGCTGGAGTGAAGCAAATGCCATCGTCACCTCCCTCGAAGGAATTGTTTGAGTTGCACCCAGCCTTGGTCCACAGTGAATATGCAGATCAGTGCTGCCAGGGCAGGTCTGCTGAGGGGAGCATTGCACAACCGGGTGGGCAGCGCTTAACCCCTTGAGGCTTTAAGTTGGCCGAGGAGCACAAGGAGTTTTGGCAGGAAGGAGGCAAGCAGAAGGTGAATCAAAGAGCTTCCTGTTCCCAAGGAATCAGAARGAAAGGCCTTAACTCAGTGAAAAGTTGAGTGAAAGACCTGATTCAGTTTTGAATGGTCAACACCCTACACCTTCTCTGAAGAGAAGACTTTGTCACCTGTGTCACCAGACATTTCATTGAGAATATGGTACAAGTAAAATGATTTTGTAAACCAACTAAGGATCATTCACCAAGGCTTTCCATAAGATACATTTACCAGCTTACCATATATAACATAGCATGCTRTATATAGTATGGTATATACCATAAGCACATGCACCAAGGTGAAGAGCAAAAGTGAGTCAATTTCTTATTTTCCTGCCACTAGATGGATAGTCTGTATTACTTATGATTTTATTAAATATATTGTAATTAGCATATTCATCAAAAGAACTGTATTGGTGTTTTTTTTCTATTTTAATTATGTTGTTTTACCCCTTCCTTTTCTACTTTTGGTTTCTTTCTATTGGAATTTCCAAATGTACTTCCTTTTTTTTCTTCAGATTTCACAAAGTACTTCTTGTAAAAAAAAGTTTTGGAATTGTGCCTGTAAGACAGTCATACCTTTTCTGTAGTGTTCCATCACTTGGACCTAGTACCAGATCTACCTTCCTTGTCCTCACCTTCTATTTTTTTTTTTTTTAATGCAGACAACAGTATACAGTGATTTAGGTGGAGAATAAGGTCCATAAGAAGCCTGACTGGGATGAGATTAGCCTTAAGTTTATTTTGAGTCTTGAATAAGAATAGCCTAAAGACTTGGAGTAAGACTTTGAGCTAAATTCAGGAACAAGCAACAGTCACTCAAAAACCATAAATGACTGTTGAGAAAGCTAGTTTGCAGTCCTACAGTATATTATTATTAATTATTAGATCTACAATACTGCTTCCTACCATAAGCTAAATCTAATAATCTGTCACCCTCTAGTGGTGGGTCTACAAAATCATAGTTCTAACAGCAGTTGTGATAAATTTTCTCTTTGTATATGTAGAAGATAAGATTTAATATTTGATGGCTTTTGTGTACTGATTAGTAACATTGTTCTCCACTGTATATAGCTGCAAATAAATGTAGCCTGTAACTGKGCCAGAAATTGGAGATGTAAATTCTCTATCTTGTCAATAGGCAGAATAAATAATTAATTAAAGAATGCTTTTCTAAATGATTTCCATACTCTTTCCCTCAGATAGGACTAGAGAAAATCTGAATTTCAACCTGCGAAGTTATGGTATATATCTGTGCACTTAGAACCCTTATTAACTAATGAGATTCCTTCATTCTTAATTCCCAGTTGTAATAAAAGTGCTGTCCTTATCTAAGACTAAGTCTAATGCTATTTTGGACAGGTGCATTGCCCATTCAAATCTGTGAAAGCAGTAGATGTGCCTGTAATAACGGAGTGTAGCCCATGTGCCTTATGCATCTATATTTGACAGCAAGGCGATCTAACAAAGCCAAACTATGTGACATCACCTATTCCGTTAGCTTCAACAACACTTACAAAAGCRAAGGTTTCTGACCCAGCCTAAGAAAAAGCTGAAAGTGCAGTATGTTGGAGAATAGCATTTAATAGGTTCATTTATCAAGATTCCCAGTAACTGATAATATTGATGTGTTTTACACTGATATTGGACAATTTGGCTTCAGATCACATATGATTTAAAGCATCCTAAGTAACAGCAAAATACTTGTCTGAAGCTGGAGTGTTGTGTTTTCCAGTGTATCAGAATATAGTGAAATATATAGAAAGATGATGGATTGCTTGAGACAACTGCAGCTGTTCCTTTTTGATTACTTTTGCACTCTTCTCAGGATAAAGCAAGTGTTATTCATCCCTGGGCCTACAACTATGCAATTCCTCCTGAAATATTTTGTGTTTGGGTTATTACATGCCACTAAGTATGTGATATCTCTGTAATGTTATCAGTATGGGCCATACGTTTACCACTTACGTGTGAACAGGGAGCCACAGAGTTACCCCAGTGATTAAGCTAATTCATTATATCTTTGTTAAAGAGATGTATGGCAACATCACTGCAATCACAAGGGATATACAAATATCTGTCACTGTGTGCCACTCACCGAGCAATACTATTTAACCTCTCTGACCTCAGAAACTTCAGGAGAAATTGTCCCTGCTCTGTGGGTGCCTTGCGGAAGGCAAAACGTTTCCATGAAGGGACGAAGCACACAACAATCTTCAAGTTTCTCCCAAAAGAACAAAGAATATATTTGCTTATCATGTGTGAAGAGCCTGGCAAGCTGAAGAGGAGGGCCCTGGCYATGCCTCTAATTATCAAATATTCTTCTGAATGTCTGAAAACTCAGCAAACCAGACAGTCTTTACTCTCACGCTTAACTAGACTATTGGGCAAATTCTGCTGGGAACAGAGAGGAAAAACATTTCTCATGTCCTTATGAACTAAAGTTTAGTAGCTGAAAAAAAATGCTAAAAAAAAAGGTAGAATTTTGTACCTGCTTTCAGGTTTTATCTTTTAATATCTGTGTTTTTTATCTCTGTATCTCATTCCTGCAAGCGTTCATATAATACATATTGCCCACGTATACACCCACATGCAGGCACCACGAAGCAGATGCACAGAGATTTGCATTCCTTTTATCATATTCATTTAATTTTCCTTAGTTTACTGGCAAAAAAAAACCTAAGTGTTCTTGCTATTAGAACTGTGGTCTTACTTAGGGAAAATGCAGTTAGCTTTTTCATCTTGAGCGGCACGTATAAGAAGCAGTCTGAGGAACACGTGCACGTCGCCTGCTTGCTGGTGCTGCTGCATCCTTCAGAAAGAAGCCAAACGGAGCTCCTTCGGCTGCGCTGACCCCGCGCTGCTGAGCGTAACATGAAGCTTACTCTGACTTGTAAACTGAGCAAACATGACATGGAGGTCACAGAATAAGGGCATATATGCATCTTGCAGCCCTTGTTTTGACAAAGTGACTTCTCTCTCCAGAGGGACATTTCTGCCATTTTTTCCAGCATGTTTCACCTTTCACTGGCTATTAATCCCAGTGTGCCTGAGCTGCTAAATTAGGATTCAGGTCCCCACCCATAAGCATATGTGAGTTAAATCTTAAATCTTTTCAGCACTTTTTGAGGCATGAGTAGTTAGCAGCTCAGTTAGCAGACCTAAAGAAATGAGAACACGGAAAACAACAAGTTAATGGTAAATCAAATGTAACAATATTAAACACTAGAAATAAATATATTATCACATTCATTATTGGAAATATTTTACTGCTGACAGGTTAAGAAATCAGATGTATTTTCTATTAATTCAGTCACCATTCCTCAAGCTTTAGCAAGATAGTTTCTTTGTGTTTGATGAAGTCTAACATTTATGTAGACCATCTGCTTCGGTCACTTTTAAACACAGCTTTTTCGCTAGATCCATAAAGGAGGTTTTGATGCAAGTAAAGTAATTCAGGATGCTCTTATTTTTCTGCATGCATAGCAGAAGGAATACATATGAATACTTATATAATTACAGGAATGGATAGTATCCCAACAAAGAATACTTCAAAACAAAGGCATCAGCAGAGCACTTTTTAGGATATTTATTCATTGCAGTAGAACAACTGTGGATGATGTTCAGCCTTGTCACCGTTAGCTGGCTGTAATACAACACTATTAGCAGTTGTCAATGTGTGTAATGAAGGACACTGGAATTCTTGTGCCCGTTTTGTAGATGGGAAAATGAGGCATGGAGCAGGGAAGTGACATGTCAAAGATCACTGCAGGCTTTTGCCAGAACCCACCCTCCTGAATCTGTTTGCAATGAGGCCATCAAATTTGAGGATAATAGTAATGACTGCTTGTGTGAATAAATGTGACAGGCTTGGTCAGTTCTGTTGTATAGGTTATTAGGTCAGTGATGCCAGTTCCAAGTTTTGAGAAAGCAAAATGTCAGGCTAGACCAGGAAGCAAAGGGGCTAACATCTTTTTTCTTTTCTTTTTTTTTTTATGATGCTGAAGAACAATATGTAAGGTAATAGAGATTAATTGTTTTTCTACTGTAATAACCTCCATAAAAAAAGTAAAGTAACCTCCATAGACAAAATATTTTGATGGTCACGACATATGTTATCCCGTAGTGAACCTCTTTAAAAAAAAACTGTTATCCCAAATTACCTATATGAAGCATTGATATTTGCAGCTCTAATTTTCTGCAAACTATTCTGCAGATTATTGAAGGGGGAGAATGGCACAAAGATCTGTCTCTGCAGTATGGAGAATTTTGTAGGGGGAGAAACAGCATTTTGTAGCGTCTAAGCATTGCCTGTTCTTTTGTTTTTCCTCAACAGAGCTACAGCGAACCTGTTGACGTTAAGGCCTCCCAGCAACCTCAGATGATGAATTCAAAGCAGTCAGTGTTTCATGGGCCTGCCCAGGCTCACTCTGCACTGTACCTCGGTTCCCACTACCACCAACAACCAGGAATGAATCCTCACATCACTGCCATGCACGCCAATATCCCCAGGAACATAGCGCCCAAGCCCAACAACCAAATGCCAGTGACTGTTTCCATAGCAAACATGGCCGTGTCGCCGCCACCACCGCTCCAGATCAGCCCCCCTCTGCACCAGCATCTCAACATACAGCAGCACCAGCCTCTTACAATGCAGCAGCCCATCGGGAACCAGCTACCAATGCAGGTCCAGTCTGCTTTACATTCACCTACGATGCAGCAAGTAAGTTGAGTTTCTCTGACAACCGAGAAAACAAGTTTTTTTGGTTTTTTTGCAGGAGAAGGAAGGGTTTTTTGTTTGGGGGGATTTTTTTTGAGCAAGTTGAGATGATCCAGAGCTTGAGAGGGAGGGTGATTTAGGACCATGGATTAACTTTAATTCTGCAGAGTTCCAAAACTGCAGAATCTTTCAAAGATGAGAACAAATGAAGATGTTTACCTAAATGATGGGAAGATTCAGTGGAATTGTTTATGCTAACAACATTAATCATATTCTTGTGAACCTTGTCTCCTCCAAATATTCAGGACTCCTGTTTTAAATAGAAGTGTCTGTCACTGGTTAGACAAGGCAGAAAGTACCCTGATGTATAACTGAAAAATTGAGGCCTGAAAAACGTCTATTTTATAAACAAAATGGAGGCATAGAAACAGATGTGATAGTAGTTTGTCTCGTGATATACAGAAATTTCTTAACTTGTGCTCAGTCTTCTGCTGACTGTCCTMTGTAACAGACACAGGGAAAGCAGAGCGTAGCAGGCTTTGTTGTCATATCAGATTAAATGAGCATAATACATTAATTTATGTTCCTATGTTCATGCCTTCATTCTAGTAGGCAGACATGCTTTATTACTGGAAAGAAGTAGCTTGTCCCCAGGAAGGTGGGATTCTTCTCAGTCTATGTTTTCCATGGTCAGTTCTCAATACACTTGCTGGAGGATCTGAATAAATGCAGGGCAGTACTTGGAGTTTTGAGCCTAGTCCGGTGGAGGGGTGGAGCAGATGAACACTGCTGATTTCATGAGAGCAGATTTCCCTTTGTGTTAGCTGAGATTTGATTAGCAATAATAAAATCTTGCTTCACGAAGAAGTGCCAGAGTGAAAAATCTCTCTATGGAGTTGCAAGAATCTCAGGAATTTGTATGCACACAACTTGCAAGTTGTGGTTGACAATGCACAGTTATGAACCTGTGATATGTTTTGAATCTCTCTCCATAAATTCATGTTTTCTAACAAGACATATGGCATTAGCTTTCCAAACAAGAAGCATTTAATCTCAAGAATGGTCTTCGGAGAGAGGAACACCTGAATAAAAAATAYTTGTCATGACTGGAAGAATTGATTTATCAGAGAGTGGAATTTTCCAAACCAAGGCAAAAAAAAACCCAACAACAGAGGTGAAAGTGATCTGTACTAATAAATTCTGTAACCCAAGAGGTACCCAGGATGTTCTGAATTGCCSTAGAGGCCTTGATCTTAGCCAAGAAAATTTTTGAGTAATCAGAAGATTTGTAAATGGCTTGCAAATTTCGCTTAGTCCAGCATATTTTTCATGCTCAGAGTAAAGTTCAATGCACAAATGTGTAGTCTTTCACTGTCATGTATTTCAGGAGGTTGCATTATTACTTAGAAGTCCAGAGAAGATCCTGGCAAAGCCTGTATGCAGACCTTAGAGAAACTCGGGAGTTAGCACCAGACTTGGGCAGCTGGAAGTAACTCAGCAAGAGATCTTAGACAGATGATCTAGGAAGGGCCACCTAGAGATCCTAAGCCTGAAGAGAAGCCCAGTCTTAATTAAGTCTACAGACTTAGAGCAATTAGAGGTAAAACAATGGACTGACACCCAGTGCAAATGTCTAGTTAGTGACAAAGTATGAATAGCGACAGCTGTGACAGCAGCCTGTTGTGATCATATGGTTATATTCAAGGAAGTCTGGTATTGCAAAGTGATTCAATCATCTCAAAATTAGAATCAAACGTTTTGTGCCTAACTTAGATTCACTTGACCAGGACAAATCAAGAGAACATCAAACCCGTTCTTTCTTTTCAGAATTGCTGGTAAGCAAAACTTCTTGAACAAATTGGAAAATGTGGCTTTGATTATTCAAAGGATAATACAATAATGGTTAGCAGATGCAGATATTAGATACCTTTGAGGATTTCTTATGTGTCTGGTTAGATATATGTGCAGCACACATTATTATCACTGTGTGAATCCAAACACTATTTTAGGAGTTTCTCCAGACCATTATATAACACAAAGAAGGTAAGATAATATTAGCCTTCTGATACTTTTATATTGCCACGTTGCACACTTGTAGTATGTGGWCTGTATGTCAGTGGTTTGGAAGAACTTTTGTTCATCTGTGAGATGTGTCATATGCAGCTGAGTCATTTTTAGCTTAGGAAAAAATATAGGTGTCTAGAAGTCAAAATGTCAACCTGTGCTGTACTGCAACTCTTTCTTTGCAAAATACAAGAATGGTAAAATAAAAAGTGCTGTTCTCCTGCTTTTCATTATTAAACTCATGAAAGGCTAGCTTAAATACTTTTACCGGCTTACATTGCTTAGTTAGGAAGGCAGATGTGGGTGCCATGGTAAGACAGGAGAGATCCTTACTCAAGGTACTCTGATCCTTACTCAAGGTACTTACTACCTGTTGAAATGCTACGCTTCCAGTCTTCACTGCATGTCTCCTCTAAGCCTCATGAAACAACTGCAAGATGTTTTATATTTTTAGTGATTAATTTTTGTTTAAAAGTATTACAGTTTATGAGCTCTGAATGTCCTTTGTTTTTTCACTYTTACAATATTTGTGATGTTTATTTCATATTCTGTTATATAGTTTATACACTTTGTATATTTAGTTTAAGTGCAAAATCCCGTCCCTTTAAAAGAATGACGTTGGCAAAGACAAAGCAAAAAATATGCTCAATTTTGGAGCAAAAAGTGTGTTAATAACAATTCATTATACCAGAGCTGGATAGTCTCCTAGGTGTGACTCTTTCTAGTCATACCCAAGAAATATTAAAAAACACTATCCCTAGGGTTGTGTATGTATTTATAGCATTAACGGATGTGTTGGCTACTAGTAGACATTTAACAAGAATTTGAGAAACTTCTTGAGAAACTTTAAAATAAAGGTCTCCTTCTGACTCATATGTCAAGGGATGGTGCTCTCCACTCTGCTTGAAACCGAGCAAACACAGAGCATGTTGGAAAGGAGAAGACATAATGGGTAAGACAGCAAGCCCTCCAAAGAGCTGCAGTGCAGTAAGAGCAGCACAGAGGGTTAGCAGCAGTGCAGGCAGTGAGGAGGCACAGAGCTACCTTGTACGTCCAGCCTCTGGCAAGGAGGGAGGCAGGACCACCCCAGCGAAACCCATGTGCTTGACTAGCCGAGTACACCACTTTACTGCACAAAAAGAGAATATGTGGGCTGGCAAAGCCAAAGCAACAGTTGGCATCTGATTCAGCTCTCTGCCAGCTCCTCTTCCATCACCTATTTGATTTCCTACCATGCTRGCAGTGTGGGCACTCTAAGCCTGTACCACAGACTCCATGGGGCTTCTAATTTAGGTAAGCAGGCAGGACAAGAGAACTAATGTTATCCTACTCCCTGCTTCGTGACCCGCAACAAGAGAGATTTTCCTTTTAAGAAACCCTCTAACTGAGCAGACTTAAGTCAAGGCCAGGCCATTTTTTCATGCCACACTGCGGCAAGAGAAGGCGTTAAGTGTAGGTGTGTTGATAGTGAGTGTTATAACAGTCTTCTACCCCAGGCATTCCCTGGGCTAGACCCTGTTTTACAGACTGAGGACCTTCCAATGATAGGCTCTGGTTTTTTTTTTCCTTTTTTTTTTCCAATATCCTAATTTGAAAGAGTTTATGACTTGCTGGGGAGATACTCAGTGCATTGGGAGTGCTGTGGAAATCCCAGCAGGTTCCCTGCTTTAGTGCAGCRGCTACTGGGAGATTTGGCCACTTTTTCCTCAGGAGAGGGAGGATGGTTTCTTATCAAAGACAGACTTGCAGTATGTCTGAAGCACTGCCAGCTCTAAGAAAAACTACAGAGAGATCCAGACCTTAGTCCTGGCAGGCAGAACCACAGCCCTCCAAAATGACAGTGCCTATAATCCACCGATTCATCTTCTCATGATGTGAGTAACTTGGAGGAAGGAGTGATAAGAAGCTGCTGACCAGGGGAAGAGTTCATGGAAACAGCGCCTGCCCACRCGACTGTAAGGACACAGCGCTGATCCATAGCAGCTCTGCCGAGAACAGCACGTCCTGCCGTTCTTCCAGCAGCACTTGCCTGCTCCTGTGCAGCTGCCAAACTCTGGCTGCCAGCTGGAGAGGGACATTTTCCTGAAGGATTCCATGAAAACTACTGAAAATCAAGATAATCAGAAGCCTAGGAGCCAAAAATCCATAATGACTGCACATTTTTCGGTTTATTTGAAATCAATTAATGCTGTGCAATGCACCCAGACTGTTCTAAAGTGCACAGAACTAACTAAATTTTATTTATTTTTGTTTTGTTTGTATGCTTGCCATTAGTAAATCTTGTAAAAGTTTCTTTTACAACCTTCCCTTATTTGAGTTATCTAATAATTTTTATAGCTTCTGGAAACTGGAGCTTTTTTCCTCTATTCCCTTTCCTTTCAAAACACTTAATGAGTAAATTAGATAACGCTGGCCCTATTATAGATGTCTGGGGTGCTCCTCTGTTATCTCTTACATAATAAAAAATGACTGTTTAGTCCTTTTCTTATCCTGTGGTTTAAATTAGATCCTGGTTTTGACTGTACTTTATTTCTAATTGTAAAATATCATCCCGCAGTATTCAGAAATATTCTTAGCAGGAGCTGTGTTGAAGTTTTTCTTTGTTAAAGTCTAAAGCCATTTTGTAACGGTCTTTCTTTCATCCACTTTTGACATACTGAATGAAGCCTGGTAGATGAGAGGAGTGTGATTTGCCTTTCATTGAATGCTTACATGAGCATCTTATCAATATATCATCTTTTAACTGATACAGACCCCCTTCTCCCCAGCCTTTTCCTTTCTCCTGATTATATGTGAGATTAGACAACTAGGTTTCACAAAATGTTTAATTTTTACTTCACTGGAATCAGGTGATCTGAGTCTCGCCCTTTGTCATTCAAATCAGCCCGATTCCTCTGAAGTTCAGGGTAAAACGGCATCTGAAGCTGCAACCTGTTTTCTTTTGAAATGTCCTTCATTGCGTTTGCTGCTCGCACCAACATTTCTGCTTCTTGCTGGGCTTCATTCTCCAGCCCACTGTACTGTGCTGCTCTGTGTGCACAGTGATAAGAACACGGATTCTCTCCCAAGTGTTCCCAGTCATTTTGTAGGAACCTTATAAAGTCTCTCTACTGGAATCATCTCCTCCCCTACTTGGACTTTCGACCCAAGGGATGTGAGATGAGGAGTCCCATCTTGGCTCACGGGTCAAGCAAGCAAACCAAGCTTTGTAAAGTCTAGTAACCATGACTGCAAGTTTATGCATAACAAAGAAGGAGAAAATATGTGTTGCTTTTTTTTTTTTTTAATAATAATTTTTTTTAATAATAATAATAATTTAATAATAACTAATTTCATTTCTTTTTTCTTTAGAAAATATATATATACAGCAAGGTGATTGCATAGCCTACCAAAAATAATAGCCTCATTTTTTTTCTGGTRTATATTATATACAGTAGACTCACGGACCTGCTGTATTTGTCCAGATTTCTTCCTCTCTTTTTGTTATGCTTTGTCTTCGAATGAGGTCAAGAGAAAAAAAAAATCATTAATATCTGTCAACTTCCTTTATAACCTTAAGGAAAAATCTTTGTATGATATCACATAGACAGATTTTCAATTTCCTTGTGTAATAAACAGATGCTTTAGGATTTGGATGTAATTTAAAGGTTTAAAATATCACATTGAGATTGATGAATAAATCAGTTGTGAAGACAAAAACATTGATGCCTGTTGAAAATACCTCTCCAGACAGGCAGGAAATGAAATTAGTTCCCAGTAAAGTGTGGAGATGAGGATCACTGTTTAGTTGTGCTGCAGGCCTTTTAGAACTCGCTACAGTGGCACAGCGAAACTGCTAGGGCTCCAGGAATCTAATTAAAGAGCAAATGTCCCTCCTGACATCGAATTAATCTTTATCAAGTTCCCCATTTTTATTTCAATCTGGAACAAGAAAATGAAATTTAAAATTCTAGGCATGTTGCAAAACAGTTGGTGATTTTCTCTTGAGCATTACAATGCAAAAACATTCGGCATTGTTTAATTAGACCTTGAAGCACTCATTTTCTCGCAGCACTTTTTATTTCATCATTGTTTGTTAAGGGCTTACATAAATAATACACAAATATTTACTACACGTCTGGTACAAGGTTGTCTCRTTGTGTTGTTTAAATCTGTATTTCCAGGGCTTTTTCCGTTGATGAAAGAAAGCTGAAGTAATTATTGTTTACATTTTAAGCATGACCATAGCTTATTGGTCCTTCACAATGAATTCAGATTCCTTAAATTGCTTAGCCTTAGAAAAGAGGCTTTTAAACACCTACATTATTGCTTTTATTGTTGGGATTTCAGCAGCCCTCAGCCGGGATGGGCGCCGGGTTGTGCTGTGGATGTTGCCCATGGGCAGTTTATGCCCCGAGCACTCCTGAAGGAAGCAGCCCAGTCCCTGCCAGCTGCACACTAAGCAGGCAAGCCAGATGCAAGCGAAGGTCTCATCCCCTTGTTCTGCACACGGGTGAAGTGAGAGACCCAGAGAGGCTGAGCTCTGAGCCGCATTCCCAGCTTTAGCATGGAAGTCCCAATTCAGTCCAAGTTGGCATCTACACATGCTGCGCTGGAAAACAGCCAAAGCAAGCTGGTTGTGGGCACTCCAAAGTCGGGAATACGATAAGTCCTCACCTAGCCCTGGCTGGCATTTTCACTGCAGAACCACCCTCCCAATTCTAGGTTATTTATTAGTCCTAGGAATGAAAGAAGTGGAACCGTTGATAATACGCCGGTGTTTTATTCCTTTGATTTTGGAGAGCTAGTTTCTGCTACGAGAGTCTGTGTGTGTCCGTGCCTGCTTCCTTGCCTGCTTCTGCACAGCAGCGTGGGAGCTGCCAGCCCCATCCACGCTAGTTTTACTGCTAGCCCCATCCACGCTGGTTTTGCTGTATATCAGACTGACTGATGAGAGAGCACTCAGGGGCTTGGTCTACCAAAGGTAAACCCAAGTGCCTGAGGGCAGAACATGTTTCTGCAGTTAGTTTCCTCTTCCAAATAAATTAGAAGAGTCCTTTTGGGGGATGTTTTGTATACAGATGATGATGGTGATGTACAAAACCAATTTTTCTGCCTTCTGTTCACACAAAACTCCCATTAAAATCACTGGGAAGTCTTCTCAGCTACAGCTTGCTTTAGAGGATGGGGGCTGTATGTGCAGTCTGATGAATTAGGTTTAGAGCCTAATGAAAACGTAGTGTATAAAGCACAGTCCTATTATGTACATTTTATTTTATCTTGTTAGCAGAACATGCATATAAGTTATATAACAGGTAGAGGACGGATTCAGTTCATGAAGTTGCCTGCTACTAATGGTGTTTTTCCTGGAATCACCAGGCAAAATGAAGTTTTAGAAAGTATTTAAAGTGCTGAAGTGCAGCTCAGGCTACACAAGAATATAGGAAGAGAATATGGAAGAAAGTTGTGAAACGTGCATTCACTTGTGACCTAGGCTAAAAAYGGTGGTCAATAGAGCAAGGTGACAGCATATGAGGAGGCCTGATAGGGCAGAGCAATGGAGGAAAAGCTTGAATAAAATGCAGCAAGAGAGGAAGATTTGAAGAAGGAGGTAACATTTTATATTTGAAGGATGCTCATTCTTTGGGAGGGAGGGGCCCAGGCAGAAACTGAGAATATTCATTACCTTGCAGAAAGGCACTATGGCAGATCTCTCAAACCTGCAGCTGAAAATAGCTCTACCAAGGCTCCTGTCTTAATGAGGATTATTTATATGAAGTAATCATCCATAAATCACTTGAATTTCAAACTAAAAGTAATGAGCTTTCATCTTATCTATTCCATACAGGGCTTGTGGATTTTCAAACTAGGTATTTTGGATCAAATTCAGTTGATTGTTTAGCAGTTACACTTCCTGTTAACTCGAGTGGGAATTGTATGTCCATGACCCAGGAAGGAGTTTGAGCTGCTTTTTTTCAGCAGGCACCAATTGCTTTCTTACAGAATTCAAATCCTTAYACCCAATGTAGTGTTCCTAATCTTACAGAAACACAGTGTCTATTTGGTTGTCCTGATGCACTAAGGCAGTTCAAGCTACACTTTAATTTCTAACCGTTCTTCCAGTTTCACARTACAGCATTAAAACATCCTAATATATTGAAAGAGCTAAGAATTGTTATGACTTTTCACATTATGAGTATTTAAGGGAGCAGGTTAAATATATCTTTATATCTTTCACTTTTCTTCTGTATCTTCCTGATTTGAAAGACAAGTTATTTTGTGCTACATTCACTGCATTAGTCCAACCACTGTTAAAAAGCTTTAGTTGAATTTCTGTTTAGTTGAGAGAGAAGTACAAATAAAAGAAGCAGCAGATGGTCCCTTTGTGACTGAATGAAGAAAAGGGGAGTTGAGAACAATATGTGAATAGGTGTAGTCTAATAAAACAGTCAGCCACCTGCTGCCTGCATCCTTCAAAAAGATTCTGTTGCATGTTCTGGGAATTAATGAGTAGTGTGTATCCTTACATTTAATCTAAATGAAAGCTGTAAGGAATAAACAAACCTTTTGCCCTGGTGTTGATTAAGTTTTTCTCTTGGTTTTGAATTATTCCTGCTCTTTCCCTTCTAGTTATACTGTCTAACTGTAACAGCTAAGAATTTGGTGGTGGTTTATTTTTGAAACCAAAGCAAGTTTTTGAGACATAGAGAGCACCTATACATTTTTTTTCTGTTTTAGATTTTCTGATTTAGATTCCAACATTTCARTATTTTGCATTTTGCTGTACACATTTTTTTTTCTAACATTGCACCCAACCTGTWGCCTGGTTCACCATACATTGCAATGTATATGCTTTCTCTCCTAGGGGTTTTCTCTTCAGCCTGATTATCAGAGCATCATCAATCCAACCTCTACAGCTGCACAAGTTGTTACCCAAGCAATGGAGTATGTTCGGTCAGGGTGCAGAAATCCTCCAGCACAGACTGTGGACTGGAATAACGACTACTGCAGTAATGGGTAAGCAGCCAGTGAATGCCACCTTGYGTTGAGCAACCTCCATGACACAGGCATCAGGGAGAGCGTTTGGAAACCGCTTTGCTGCCTCTTTCCCTATAGCATTTTAGATGTGTGTCTGCGAGGGCTTTGTGTTTACTCAGCAGTTAGATTACGGTAGGAAAACAAGATTTCGATGCATAGAGCATTAAAATTCATACAGAAGGTTTTTGGTGGGCCTGTGTTGCTGTTCCAGGAACTGCTGGGAAGCCTTTAGCTCTCTGCATGATGTATTTGTTGAGTTTTAGATGATAGATAGTGTGCTCTGGGTCCACGTCCTCCAGTCCTTCAGCCTGACCTCTGCTTGGCCTTGACAAGAATCTCCAAGGCAAAGGCAGATAAAAAAACCTCTCCTGATAGTCAAGGAGTCACATCCAGCCCAGACAATGAAACCCAAAGCCTGAAGAATGGTTTCACCCATTAGATTTACTCAAACTCAGAATTTCACTTGTGTTGTTATTTTAAAGTCTATGTTGAATTCAAACTAGACCAGAACAAAAATCTTTTTTTCTGGTTACCAGTTCAGAATAACATCTTGCCGGAAGCCTGCTGACCCTGAGGCAGACCTCAGCTCAGCTGCACAGCAGCATCCCTTTCCCCCTGCCTGTCCCTGTTGCCTCATGACTTGCCCATGCGTTCAGCAAGAAGTTCCTGCTTCTCCACCATGTCACCATAAAATGTTGATTTGTGCTGCTGTCCCTTACAGGGGTCTCTGCAGCCCCCATTTTTAAGTGGATATTTTTCTAGACTGTCCTCTGCCAAAAGGGCCCAGGACAGTTACAGCTTTGCTTTCCAGGCTCTTCTAGTGAGAAGCAGTGTGTGGTCACTGCCAGCAACACCTTCTAYGTGGCTGCTGAGCATAACTTTCCATCAGGGTAAGGTTTCTCGTAGTAGACTGTTTATACCCCTCCGTGGGTTTAGCCTGTCTTTGCAAGAGCATTGACATGGATTGCCAGTGCAGTGTAGCCTGCTCTGTGCTGTCCCTGCCTCYAAACCACACAAGCTGTAAAACTGAAGGAAGAGAACTGGTGCCTGGGCTTCAGCAAGGAACAGGAAATTCCTTGCTCAGTCTTCTTACTGGAGCTTCTCCCTGAGAAAAACTCTTCACTGTACATCAAGTCTAACAGGAATTTCTGCTTTAGACTTCATTTTGTTTTGTTTGTTTTTCTGACTTGCACAGGCTGTTTGTTGTCACAAACTGATAAATGATTCGTTTTTGCTCTGAACTAAACTGGTACCTATCAGTAGAAGATGAACCCAAGCAAGATCTGTCCTGGACCCAGTGTGCTGATGACAGGCTTCCCACAGAGGCAGGAAGCATTGGCTCTGCTTTGGGCTCTGCCAGAAGTGTCCTGTGCCCCTGCGTGAGCTTCCCTAGCCCTGCTGATGCAGAACATTTTGTCTATGTCTATACTACTAAATAAACGTGACCAGGGACCTAGGCTCGCACACATGGTCCTGGACCAGTGCTTAAACTCATGTTCTGGTGCTCTTCGGCACAGGGACAGGATTTGGCCTCTACGTGCCACCATGGAGATAGGGGGGTTCTTATTATTTTTCTTGTTATTGCCATGGAAATTCATCTGTACTTGAGTGATACACCTGGCATCAGTGACACAGGGAAGGGGTCATGGAGATTTTTGGAAGAACRGGACTAAAAAAACGACAAATTTAGAAATAACATTTGTTCTCTTCTCTTTGAATAGGGGCATGCAGAGGGACAAAGCACTCTACCTTACCTGAGAATCTGAAACACCTCTCCTTTCCACTGAGGAATGCAGGGAAGTCTTTTCATCATGGATTGCTTTACGCAGTCAAGGCAGTTCTGCATTTTATTAGAAAATACAAGTTGCTAAGCACTTAGGACTATTTGAGCTTGTGGGTCACCCACTCTGGAAAAAAAATAGTCTTGCTTCTATCTTTTTCTTTTTTTCCCYACATTTTTTTTCCTCTTTCTTTCTCTTTTCTGCCCCCATCCTGAGACCTGTTAACGGACATTGCTTTTCTTCTTTCCTGAAGGAAACTTGGACCATTCAGATTTTATGTTGGTTTTTGCTGTGAAGTGCTRCGATAGTAACTGCCTTAGCAACTGTAGATGTCTCGGAGAAAAGTCCTGGATTTTCCATTGTTTTTTCATAATGGGTGTTTATATGAAACTACTAAAGACTTTTTAAATGGCTTGATGTAGCAGTCATAGCAAGTTTGTAAATAGCATCTATGTTACACTCTCCTAGAGTATAAAATGTGAATGTTTTTGTAGCTAATTGTAATTGAAACTGGCTCATTCCAGTTTATTGATTTCACAGTAAGGGTTAAATTGGCAAACATTCATATTTTTACTTCATTTTTAAACAGCTGACTAATAGTTCTATATTTTCAAGGTATTTGGAGAAAAAAAAGAAAAATATTCCCAAATTATATTAATTAAAAATATTGGCTTTGTCTCATTAAGTAAAGAGAAAAACTAGGAAAAAGCTAGCATTGATAAAGAGCAAACACATTTATTTTGTACTGCCTAAAAATGCTTCTTTTTTTAAAAAAAATCACTTTATGTGTAATGGTTAGTAAATGTCATTTAAGTCCTTTTATGTATAAAACTGCCAAACGCTTACCTGATATTTTATTAGATGCAGAAACAGATTGGAGATGGCTAAATTATAACCTTTACATATGGCTATGTATTATTGTTTCTTCATACTGTGTCTGTATTTAATCTTTTTTTTATGGAACCTGTTGCGCCTATTTATGAAATAATAAATATAGGTGTTTGTAAGTAAATTTGTTAGCATTTTAAAGGGGTTTCTTTGATGCTTTAACTTTTGCTGGCACAAATTGTTCACAACTGATGTGAATACTTTATTTAGTTTTTACAGTGACGTATATAACACCAAACCTGCTTTTTTTAGCAGGAAATGAAGGTAACCAATTCTTATTTCTATATTTCTTTGGTTATTAAGAAAAAAAAAGTATTTTAAGTAGTTCCCTTTTTAAGATATTATAGCAAAAAATGCCCCAAATTAAGACTTGAATGACCAAAACTAACTAAATAAAATGGTATAATGCTGTTTCTTGAAAMATTAACAGTTTTGGTTTATGAGTCAGGTAGAATATTACCAACAGAAATATCACCAAATATGCTTCAGCCGTACATACAAAAGGGCATATAGAGATTTAGGGAGTGTGTCTTGTGGCACCTTTTAAAGACAAAGGTAAGTAAAACAGCTCCAGGCAAAGGGATAAGGTATTTCCCCCACCTCACCTTCCCCCCCACCGAAAAAAAACCAATGTTTTGGATCAGGGATAGCTCTGAAATTAGATTTCTGAAGGATTTCATCATGGATGCTTGTCCAATTAATAAAGAGTACCACTGATTTGTATTTTCTATGTGAAATTAAGAAAGCAACTCTGATTAAAACTTATTATGCAATGCCATTTTTTAAAAGGAAAAACAAAACAAAAACAAAAGTATGCTTGCTTTGGAATGATTTTAGGCAATGTACAATCAGAATCACTTGGCATGTAGTAACAAATAAATAATGCAGATCAGATGTGATTACTCAAATGACTGTAGCTGAGAGCTCTAATTTTCCTGTCTTGAAACTGTAAGAGAAACTCGTGATTGAATTCACAGTTTATTGTTTGTCTGTTTAGTACTTTAGAAATATACCAGCACTACTAATTACCCAATGTCTTCTATTTATTATATTATAGTAAACTACATTTTCCACTCATATTAATTCAAAAGTGAGAAGATAATTACTAGGGATGAGGAAAATCAGCTTTGATTTTGACAGGCAGGTTTCTTTTTTCTTTTCTGGAAAAGGACTGTGTTATCTCCATTTCTTTTAGAGCAGGTGTGCAGTCACATAAAATTGTTAATTTCAGTATCCAAGCAGAGTTCAAAATACAAGAAAACTTTAATGTAAATAAATAAAAAACAATACATCATGAATAAAATACTTATTCTGTATGAATCCGTGGCTAGTTGGTGTCTGTTGGTGTCTGTTAGTCTCTAAGGAGACTCTGGTGTATTTAGTGCAAAGCACATTACCAGCTCCGTGGTTTTGGTGGGGCTCTGCCTGGGCTCTGCTTTTGGAAGAACAGCTAAACTAGCCGTGGTTTGSCCAAGCTAAGCCACTTAATTCTGGAAGAAAGGTCCAGGTTTGGTGCAGAAGTGTCAGCTCGTCCTGCCTGACCTTGRGAGAAAGCCGTAGTTGCCTGCCCAGGACAGCCTGCTACTTCTCTTTAGCTGCCTCTTGAGTGACACAGGAGTCCATAGCCAGAGCCCAGGAGGTCAGGGTCCCTGTGCAAGCCGGGGAGATGCTGCTGAGGTGCCCCATCAAGAGGTGCCTCATGCCTGGCTGCAGCACTGGGGCTTAGGCTCCATAGTCACACAGAGACTCAAGCTACCCGTTGCAAGGCACCATCTGTCATGAGGATGGTAATGAGAGCACACAGGAACAGAGCAACCTACACATGTAGTAAATAAACACAGTGAAGACATCTGTCAAAGTGAAAGAAGCCAAGGGAAATWGCCTTCCACTGTAGGAAGTTAATTTGTCTGTTCTGATGGGTTTGAGGCAGAACATGGTGTGTGGTAGCAGCATGAAGATTTACATACTGTGTGCCTGCAAACGSCGGTGAGCAGAGGATTTGGAGAGGAAAGAAAGACAGAATCTCTCTAGAGTGGCTCTAGAGACAGAATCACTCTGAGTGGCTTGCGGTCCCAGCCCCTCTTACTCTACTTAGAGCAGTTCAAGTAGACGTCTGGTCTCACTGGGCTTCCTACCTAAGCACCTCCAAAGGATCTGCTACAGACTTGTGTTTTTTTTTTTTTTTTTTTTGACATTTTTTCTGCCACGTTCTCGCACAGCCAGGATATAATTAATGTGTTCAAGGAGGGCCTCCGCCTTGCACAGTCAGACTTAATGTATTCGTGCCCACTCCTCCCTCTCTCACCAAACACTGTTTCTTGATTCCTGGGGCATAGTCTGCAAATATTCCCAGGGAGGCCCATCTGTAAACAGGAAGCCCTGCCATAAAAGAACTTGTTGCTGAAACATGAAACGGAGTCTTAGCACCTTCCTCAGCCTTCTGAGATGCTGTCTCTCAAACCCAGCTACCAGCTCCCAGGCTTAGCTGTCTGACGGATCTGTCTGTTCTCACTCAATCCTGTAAACATGGCAAACCTGCGGAGATGTCTCTGGGCACACTGAGGAAATGGAGGAGCTAAGATTTTTATTCCTTATTATGTGAGAAATAAGGAGCTGTATGTAAACCATACATGAGTTACGATCCAGAACTCCCACTGATATATAGGGATAGATACAGATAGATAGAGATGGAACCGTTGTCCCCTTCATTATTTATTTGGTCTTCAAGCCTTTTTTTTTTTTTTTGCATTTAAATGAAACATTATCTGGCATGTAGTAACAAACGAGCTGGTGGTGCTGGCAGTGCTGCAGGAGGTGCTCAGCACTTTGCAGAACCCGAGGTCCTGCYTCGCATCAGGTCTCACCTGCAGCATTGGCTTCCCCTCGCAGAGCCGTGTATTTTATCAGTACCCAGCAGCACGTCACAACTCACAAATCACAACTCGGATGTAGTTCACCTTCCAACGGCAGGAGGACAAGCGAGAACAGTGACTTGCAGCATTTCGGAGACTGTCACAGTCACTGCCTAATTAGAGGGACCCACCAGCATATCTGCATGGCTCCCACCACTGCTGCCGTTTCATGTGCTATTAGGGGCTCGCTGTGATAGACACTTTATAAAATTTCATTTGGGCTAGCACCAACCTGGCAAACCTGTAATTGGCTCCAAAAGAAAATAGGTGAGAAGATGGAAAAGACAGTAGTGGTGGACAGAAAAGGAGCCCGTCCTACTTTGCAAGCAGCCACGTGCAGAAATCTGCAGCTGAGAGCAGATAAGATCCTCACCCGCTGACAACTGCACCCTCGCAACAAGTCTGAGCGTAATTGCTCTGATGGGCTGTCAAGGAAAAGATTAATTTGGCAAAGATTAGTATTGACTCGCTGTTTATTAAGGCTTTTAAACAGCTGTATCTGGCAACATTCCTGCAAGTGCCTGTCATGTCGGAAAATGAGGCTCGCACCCGGGTGCTCGCCAGCTGTTCCTGCACTGTCTTACCACGCAGAGTATCTATCTCCAGGCCAAACAGCAGGAGTAAAGCACTGCCAAGTGTGTCTCTCCTGTCCCGTGACTTCTCAGTCTTCCTCAGTCAAGGACTTCGCCTTGGAAAGCAGTGGGGTCACTTGGTGCCTCCACGTCTGAGCTCATCGCAGCTCCTGGAAGCCACAGGGTGGGTTGGAGAGGTGCCACGCGAGCCTGTGCCACGCATGGGCAGCGGGTATTGCCCTTCCCCACCTCACAAGCAGAAAACCACAGCTTGCAACTGCTGCGATGCAAAGGGCTTGCAAAACTCTTCCTACAGCGACCAGAGCGGAGCGCGTCACCTTGGGTGCTGCACTGGGTAAAGCCAAGATGGTAGGGGGAGGTGAGAAAGGGCAGTAGCTCCATTAATCTTCATAWAATGAGCCAACATTTTCTTCGATGATTTTTTTTTCCCCTGAACTGCAAATAATCATTAAAGCATACACACTAAATATCCTGGTTCAGTGGAAACCTGTAAAAGGAAWGAAATTGTCTGTTTTTTTCTTTTTCTTTTTAATGTTACTTTTAAAAGTTTAGCTTTCATTATAGGCTTCAGTAGCTGGTTCAGAAACGAATAATGYCAGTGGAAAGGAGGATAAACTGCTGCAGCTAAACGCCAATACAAATAGCCATGTGTTACTATTAAAGTTGATTTGGCCTTTCCAATAGAAGTCTGATTTTTCTGGGATTAATCTCGACCTTTTCAAGTTGCATCGGGCTGAAAGAAGTTGTCAGAACAGATGTGAATTTTGTTTGCAAAGAACAACTGTAATCCAGTAACTCTCAGAACATCAGCGTTTTCCAGACTGCCAGCCAGCTGAATAGCTATGAGGCGGATGGGAGACACTACATGCCCACACAAGGCACAACCAGAGGATTCATAACAATGTCTAGAGGCTAGAAGTTGAAGTCATACAATTGCCATCTGTAAATAAAACGCAGTTTTTATCTCTGAATTTACCAAGCAGCATGGTAGATACACAGCTGCCTTGAAATAAAGACTTCAGATCAGGATGGATACCTTTGCAAAGAATATGCTTTTTAGCTAAATCAAATGCAAGGCTGGGTGAC